CCTAGTTAATAAACCTTGAGTTAGTTTATTACAGGATTGGCTACAAGTGTTGTCTTTGGTCTGAGATCTGAGTACAACTGACCTCAGGTAAGTGACTGCTCCTTTGGGACTGGGAGCAACCTTAATATTGTGATTTTTGGTGCAAGGGACCATCACAGAGGCAGGCTTACCTGGGCAGCAAGATAGATTGGCGTACCCAAGGGGACTGTCTGTTCCCTGTTGAGGTTGTTATAGTGCCTGAGGAGTTCACACTTGTTACTTGGTTGGCGAAATTGCAGCAGCAGTTTTGAGACAATATTTACCATTTGTAACCCTAGATACCCTGTATTCACACTCTACACACCACTGCAATAATATGTGTACAAAGTATGACTTGTGGGGTATCATAGGGAAACTAATAACATGCTGGTTATTAACATTGTAAAATGCATGTGACATTGTGAATTCCCTCTATAAGAGGATGAGAGCGTAGCTATATAAATATAGATTAATAGATTCTAGGACTGGAAGGGACCTCGAGAGGTCATCGAGTCCAGTCCCCTGCCCGCATGGCAGGACCAAATACTGTCTAGACCATCCCTGATAGATATTTATCTAACCTACTCTTAAATATAGATTCATAAAGGTGATAAACAGGTTCGTTGTAGACAAAGGAATGTGGGTTACCTGCATTTACATATTAGCCATAACAAAGCGCTCAAGCTAAGCCAGTAGGAATGAGCTTGAGCCTGACCTCAAGAGACAGAGAATTCGCTCAGCTCCTGTACCCCAGAGACATGGGAGACTGACTCGCCAGGAGGCCTCGCTGCCTGGGAAGACAAACGATCCCTTTGGGAATATACGGAACACAGAGAGACTCCTCCTGCAGCCTTCACCATATTGCAAAAAATAAACCCAGAGATTTGATCTCTTTGATGGCCTTGGGCAGGGAAGGAGACTGGGTGAGAGAAAAGACAAAAACAAATTTTTTTTTTCTCTTTCTAGCTGTCGGGTTAAGCTAGGTTAAGCAGAAAGGCTACGATGACAGAAAGTGACGTCCAGGAAAAACTGGTATTAGCCAGATTTGAAGCTGAGGAAAGAATAAAAGAACATGATAGACAACTGGCCAGGGAAGAAGCTGCCCACAAGAGAGCTATGGAGGCAGAAAAAGCCAGGAGAGAAACTGCCCACAAGAGAGCTGTGGAGGCAGAGGAAACTGCCCACAAGAGGGCTAGAGAGGCCTAGAAGCATGAACTGGAGTTAGAGAGGGCAAGGGCTAAGCAGAATATACCAGACAACCCTAACAATCCTTCTCCAGGTATCGCTTCCCATCCCAGAAAGTTCCCCACCTACAAGGGAGGCAATGATACAGAAGCCTTCTTAGAAAATTTCAAAAGGGCCTGCCTTGGGTACAGCATCTCTACAGATCAGTATATGGTGGAGCTGAGACCGCAGCTCAGTGGACCCTTAGCAGAGGTGGCAGCTGAAATGCTTAAGGAACACATGAACAGCTATGAAATTTTTAAAAACAAGGCCAGAATTAGAATGGGGCTAACACCTGAGCATGCCCGTCGGCGGTTCAGAGCCCTGAAATGGAAACCAGACATGGCATTTTCCCAACACACCTACCACATTGTAAGAAATTGGGATGCCTGGATATCAGGAGCAAGTGTTAAATCTCTGGAAGATCTGTCTCTACTAATGCAAATGGAGCAGTTCTTAGGGGGTGTTCCTGAGAAATAGAAAGGTACATCCTAGATGGCAAGCCCAAAACTGTAACTGAGGCAGGGGAGATTGGAACCACCTGGGTGGAGGTGGCAAAAAAGAAAAAAACTAGTAGCAGTTGGAGCGAATATCAGAAGGGGCACCCCGAAACCAAACCTTACCACCGGGGCCAACCCAAGGCCCCACCTACATCCCAAGGAAAACCCCAAACCCCTTATCATCCCACCACACCAGTCTCCAGCAACCCACCTTGCCCCAGTGATCAGTCAGCTGGGCGATGTTTTAAATGTAATGAGCTGGGGCATGTGAAGGCCAACTGCCCCAAGAACCCCAACAGACTGCAGTTCATTACACCAGAATCACACCAAAGGTCCCCAGATGCCTCCGAGATACCCTCAGAGCAAAGAGAAACTGTGAGAGTGGGCGGGAAGAAGGTTATCGGGTGGAGGGACACTGGACCACAAGTGTCAGTTATCCACCAATCCTTAGTGGACCCCAAATTCATCGACCCAGAGACCCAAGTGACAATTCAACCCTTCAAGTCAAACTCTTTAAACTTGCCTACAGCCAAGTTACTTGTCCAGTACAAGGGCTGGTCAGGAATGTGGACTTTTGCAGTCTATGAGGATTATCCCATTCCCATGCTGCTGTGGGAAGACTTGGACAACCATCTGAAGCTAGCGAAGAGGGTGGGAATGGTCACCCGCAGCCAGGCTAAGCAAGCCTTCACACCTAGCTCCATTCCTGCGCCTTCTACAAGGGCCCTGTCTGTGTTACCAGAGACCCAGACTGAGGTGGTGGAACTGGACCCCATGCCCATGACAGCAGTAGTGGATCCAGTCGCAGAGACCCAGACAGAGCCAGGCCCAGAATTGGAACTGGCGAAGCAAACAGCACCAGAACCAGAATTGGAACTGGCGAAGCAAACAGCACCAGAACCATTGCCAGCACTGAATCCAGTGCTTGCAACCCTGTCTGCAACTCCAATGCCAGAGGGCACCAGTGAGCCTGCACTGGCAGAAGCAGCAGATAACCCTACCCAAGAGGCTCACCCACAGCCTGAAATATCACATATTGCACCAGCGGAGGGCGGTTCACAGTCAACGGAAACAGCCCCATCACCGACATCGCTTCCAGAGGGACCAAGCCCAAGTCCACAGTCCAAGGAGGAACTGATGTCTCCAGCATCAAGGGAACAGTTCCAGGCCGAGCAGGACGGCAGCATGGAGCAACCCACCGCCTCTCAGCTCGTCTAACTGATCCCGGTTTGTTGTAGAACAAGGACTTTTATACAAGGAAACTCTTCTTCTTTGAGAGATGTCCCTGTGGGTGCTCCACTCCAGGTGCTGCGCCCTTGCTCAAGATTTTTGCAGCAGTACTCGTACCGGCCACGCATGCGCAGAGGCTGCCTCCCCCCCCCCCGCTGCGAGTCTAGCTTAATAGTACGCATGCGCTGCCGGTCTCCTCAGTTCCTTCTCTACCATCCCCGGCCTGAGACGGAGCTCAGCATACTCGTTAGGAAATTCCTTTCTCTTGTTACAATTATCCTTCTAGTTACTTAGTTTGTTGTTAGTTATAGTTAGTTACCATTTTTATAAATATCTTGTCAGCGGCCACGGCTTCAGACATGCCTGGCTCCACAGGCTTTAAACGCTGCTCAAACTGCAAGGAGGCTATCCCGCTATCAGATGGCCACTCATACTGTATAAAGTGTTTGGGGGAGACCCACATTCCTCAAAAATGTGCCCACTGCAGAAAACTTAGCTCCAGGGCACAGAAGGACCAGGAGCTTAAACTGAAACCGCTCCTCCTCCAGAAATCCCTCGGAGCGGCTTCAGACCCAGGCGCTGATTCCGGCTCCGCTGCCCACCGCAGCCCCCCCGCCTCAAACAAACAAAAGAAATCTGATAAGAAAGGGCACTTTTTGTCAGCTTCAAAGAAAGCCCTGAGACACAAGCCCACCCCGGGCGGATCTACCGCTTCCCTGCCTGTGCTCCCCCACTTGAGCACATTTGACAAGCCGGGCTCCTCCGGCACTGCGCGAAAACCGCCTGAGGCTGCGGCGGCGGCGCAAAGCTCCGGTGCTGAGGCTTCAGGCTTTCAGCTGCCTGCCTCTCTTCTGGCACCGTTCGGCACCGCGACGGATGTGGTGCCGACATTACACACCCTGCCTGACCCCCTGCAGGCTGATGCTGCCCTCCCGGCACCGGCCACAGCACTGGCCCCCGTGGAACTGATTGGCAGTGAGCCAAGAACCAAAACCTCGGCTCAGAGGAATGTTCCCTCACTGCAACTTCCTCCTGCACAGCCTTAACCTCACGCAGGAGCCTCACCACTTCACTTCACTCAGGCAAGAGATCTGCTGGTGTCACCTATCCTGCAGTCTCCCCTGCTGAATGCCTGTTTCTCTTCGATGGCAGAGTCAGGGTTTGAACAGTCTTCCTCCAGTGAGGAGGAAACTGGACCACAGGGGGTGGTTTCTCCGTATCAACCCTCCCATCCCCAGACCCCAGTCAACAGAGGTTTTAGGAAAATTACCTCAGCCTATTCGCAGGATCCTGCCCCCTGGGGGGTGAACCCCTGGATGGCACCACCTATGCCCTACCCACCACCATAGCAATATTGGGCACCATGGGCATCATATCCTTGAGAACACACGCGCTACGCCACCTCAACCAGGCGCAATACCGGTCCAGCACCACCACCTGACGAACCTGACGATGACACCAGGCAGCACCGTCACACTTGCAGGATCAATCAAGTCCTGCTCCTATTCCAGTAGAGCCGGAAGTAACGCCTGAAGAAGCCTTACTTCCCCTTCCTCCAACACCGTCGGATGACTACGCAAAATTCCAAGATCTCTTTAAAAGAGTTGCCAGTGACTTGAGAATTAACTTGGAGGAAGTCCCTGAACAACAGCATGAGTTAACGGACATCCTACAGCCCTCTTCTTCCTCTAGGGTCGCATTACCAATCAACGTAGCCCTTTTAGAACCTGCTAAGTCCATCTGGCAGACTCCAGCTACATGCCTACCGACCTGTAAGCAAGTGGACCGGAAGTACTTCATCCCTTCTAAGGGCTCTGAATTCCTTTTTACCCATCCGGCACCAAACTCGTTAGTAGTAGACGCAGCGAACCAAAGGGCCAAACAACAGTATTCCCGCTCCACCCCAGCCAACAAGGAAAGTAAACGCTTGGACCTCTTTGGTCGTAAAGTATATGCATCCTCGATGCTGCAATTTCGTATAGCTAATTATACTGCAGTTCTTGCAAAATATGACCACAGAAACTATAATAAGTTCATGGACTTTATTGACAACATCCCAGAACAGAAAAAACAACAATAATTCACAGCTCTGGTTTCCGAGGGGCAAATCGTATCACATACCGCTCTTCAAGCGGCCCTTGATGTAGCCAACACTGCAGCCAGATCGACCGCCACAGCAGTGGTCATGCGCCGAGGTTCATGGCTCTCCTCCTCTTTCTTTCCTCGAGAGGTTCAGAGCACCATTGAAGATCTTCCCTTTGATGGTGAAAAGCTTTTTGCTTCTGCCACGAGCGACGTGCTTCACTCAATGAAGGACTCAAGGGCAACCCTCCAGTCCTTAGGTCTCCAGACACCTACGACCAGAAGACGGCAATATAGATACCAACCTTACCAACGTCCACGCTACCCCGCATTTACACAACACTCCCATAGACCACAGGAGCAACAACAACAATGCCAGAGACCAAGATTCCAGCGTTGTCGTCCCAATTCTGCGGGGGCGCCTCAACCCCCTCCAACTAATAGGCAGATTTGAAGCTTTGGTCGAGGGTTTAGAAAACAGCGTTCCCACTTCAGCCAGCACACATATCTTTGCACACCGCCTACGACCAATCTCCCACCAATGGCAAAACATTACCTCCGACAAGTTGGTTATAGAGGTGGTTACAATTGGATACGCCATCCCCTTCCTCTCCTTGACTCCCTCCCACCCACCCTCCCCATCCCTCTTCAGGGACCCCTCTCACGAGGGACTACTCCTCCAAGAAGTGCAACATCTCCTTCAACTGGGGGCAATAGAAATTGTGCCAGAACGACACAAAGGGAAGGGTTTTTACTCCCATTATTTCTTAACAGAAAAGAAAAATGGGGGATGGCGACCAATCCTCGACCTCAGGAGGCTCAACAAATTTGTCAAAAAGTAAAAGTTCAAGATGGTTACTCTCACCACCATAATCCCAACGCTGGAGCAGGGCGATTGGTTTTCAGCCCTCGACCTACAGGACACCTATTTTCATGTGACTATATCCCCGGCCCACAGACGCTTCCTACGTTTTACTCTTGGCTCAACACATTTTCAATACAGGGTTCTTCCCTTCGGACTGTACACGGCCCTCCGTGTCTTTTCCAAGATCCTAGCCATAGTCACTGCCTACCTCAGAAAACAAGGGGTCGTAATATTTCCTTACCTTGACGATTGCCTCCTCAAAGCCTCAACGTTCAACGAAACTCTCCGATCCACGCGGCTTACAGTCGATTGTTTATTTGCAGGCCTAGAGATAGGAAACAAAGACAAATCCACATTATGCCCCACCCAACATCTGGAGTTCATAGGGGCATACCTTGACTCCCGGACAGGATTGGCATCTCTTCCACCCGACCGCTTCAACTCCATAAGCCGACTGGCCACAAAAATTCGCAACTGTCCCCAGATGACTGCCTGAGACGGTCTACAAATACTAGGTCACATGGCCTCGTGCACTTTTGTCGTCTGAAATGCACGCCTCTATATGACGTGTTTCCAAGCGTGGTTGGCCACGGTTTACAGACCGAATGTGCACTCTCTAAACAAGACTTTTTCCATACCTTTCCGAGTCAAAGATTCTCTACTGTGGTGGACAGTTCACTCCAACCTCTGCTCTGGAGTCCCCTTTCTTCAGGAGGCTTCATCCCTCATACTGACTACCGATGCATCTCTGACAGGCTGGGGTGCACACATCTCACCACACAGTCCAGGGGCTATGGTCTTCAACCAAGACCTCTCTGCACATAAATGTCCTAGAACTTCGAGCCATTCGCAATGCGTGCCGTCACTTTCTTCCACTAATCAGGAATCACCATGTACGCATAATGACAGACAACATTGCATGCATGTTCTATGTAAACAGGCAGGGAGGAGCTCGATCCCACTCGCTTTGCACAGAGGCTATGAAGCTCTGGAATTGGTGCATTGCGAACAACATCCAGGTATCAGCTGCCTATCTTCCCGGAGTGATGAACACCACAGCGGACGAACTAAGCAGATGCTTTCCATGGGATCACGAATGGGAGATAGACGAGAAAACCATTCACAACCTATTCCGCATTTGGCTTCACCTCAAAGCCTGGTTCCTACATGATTCTCCCAAAGCGAACTAGATTGCTCTGAACAAGTTCAAAGAGTGCTCCTACATAGCAGAACACAATCTACTCGCACCACCTATCTACGAAAGTGGAACCGATTCACACATTGGTGTTCAGCTAAACAACTTTGTCCCACCTCGGTATCTCTCTCGCTCATACTTGATTATCTATTGGACCTTAAGCGATCCGGCCTTTCTTTCAGCTCCATCAGAGTCCATTTAGCTCCTATTACAACTTTTCATGACAAAATTGATGATACTTCTGTTTTTGCTTACCCAATCACCAAACATTTCCTTGAGGGACTCCAAGCCCTATACCCAGACAGTAAACCACCTACCACCCTGTGGGACCTTCATTTAGTACTATCTTGCCTAACTCAACAATCATTTGAACCCCTAGCCACGTGCTCCCTTTTACACCTTTCGATGAAAACAGCATTTTTAGTGGCAATTACCTCCGCCAGACGGGCGGGAGAAATAGCAGCTCTTATGGCAGACCCACCATATATGCTATTTTTCAAAGACAAGGTTACCCTCAGATTACACCCCAAATTTCTTCTTAAGGTGCATTCGTCATTCCACATTAATGAGCTGATACACCTACCAACCTTTTTTCCGAAACCACATGTGAACTCGTTCGAAGCTACAATGCATACATTAGATGTTCGCAGGGCCTTGTCCTTCTATTTGGATAGAACCAAACCTTTTAGAAACTCTTCTAGACTTTTTGTCTCCATTGCGGAGCGTTCCAAAGGTTCTCCTATTTCTACTCAGAGACTTTCAAACTGGATTTCTCAGTGCATCCAGTTGTGCTATCAGATGAAGAAGGTTGCACTTCCAGACAGCATCAGAACGCACTCCACTAGATCTCTGGCTGCCTCTGTAGTATTCTTACACAAAGTTCCCCTGGCTGATATCTGTAAAACAGCCACTTGGTCCTCTGAACACACATTTGTTAAACATTATGCCCTTACTCAAGGCCCCTTTTCTGACATACGTTTGGGCAGGGCCGTACTATCTACGGCATTCCTATCAGACCCCAAGTCCCTACCTCCTTGAGACACACTGCTTTTAAGTCACCTGGAGTGGAGCACCCACAGGGACATCTCTCTCTCTCGAAGAGGTTACTCACCCTGTGCAGTAACCGACGTTCTTCGCGATGAGTGTCCCTGTGGGTGCTCCACTACCCACCCTCCTCTCCTCTACTTCGGAGTTGGGGTAGCCTCCGTCGTAGAGAAGGAACTGTGGAGACTGGCCATGCATGCGTACTGTTAAGCTAGACTCACAGCGGGGCGCAGCCTCTGCGCATGCGTGGCCGGTATGAGTACTGCTGCAAAAATCTCCGAGCAAGGGCGCAGGGATGCACCAGCACCTGGAGTGGAGCACCCACAGGGACACTCATCTCGAAGAACATCAGTTACTGCACAGGGTGAGTAACCTCCTCTTTCTGGGGGACACCAGGAAGACTGGCATCCTCAAAGACAGTTAGTAGTTCCAACTAAGTATCGGGTAAAGCCCACGATCATCCTAGTGGCCATGCTGGGGTGAACAGGACCAAAGACCGTTTGGGGAAGTCATTCCACTGGGAGGGAATGGGCAAGGACATTTCTACTTATGTCCAGTCTTGTGAGGTGTGCCAAAAAGTGGGAAAACCCCAAGACCAGGTCAAAGCACCTCTCCAGCCACTCCCCATAATCGAGGTCCCATTTCAGCGAGTACCTCTCTGGTCACTCGATTACAGACCTCAGAGTCGCAATACTCCAACAAAAAAACTTCAAAAACAGACTCCAACGAGTAACTGCAGAACTGGAATTAATTTGCAAACTGGACACCATTAAATTAGGCTTGAATTAAGACTGGGAGAGGATGGGTCATTACACAATGTAAAACCTATTTCCCCATGCTAATTTTTTCCCCTACTGTTATTCACACCTTCTTGTCAACTGTTGGAAATGGGCCATCCAGATTATCACTACAAAGGTTTTTTCCCCCCTCCTGCTGATAATAGCCCACCTTAACTGATTACCCTCATTATAGTTGGTATGGCAACACCCATTTTTTCATGTCCTCTGTATGTATATATATCTTCCTACTGTATTTTCCACTGCATGCATCCGATGAAGTGGGTTTTAGCCACGAAAGCTTATACTCAAATAAATGTTAGTCTCTAAGGTGCCACAAGTACTTTTGTTCTTTTTGCTGATACAGGCTGACACAGCTACCACTCTGAAACCAGTCTAATCATTCTCTTGGATAGAAGCTGTATCATCCTGATAATGTAGCAATGTTGATTCTGAGTCTAATCAAGTGGTGGTTTAGCAGTGCTGTTTTCAGAAGTCAGAGTCCAGATCGACTCCTAGGCTCAACGTCCGAACATGCCGATATACGAGTCACTTTATTTCATTTCAGCCAGGATCGACGAGGGGGAGAGGCATGACAAGTGTTTTGGCCCCCCTTTTCTAGGGTCTCCCTAAAGAGCTAAGCAGGCAACCCTGCATAGGGCTGTTTGGAGGTCTCGGCAGCTGCCTCAAGCTCCAGATGCCCTGACAAAATCCTGCGACCCTCACATCCTGACCTTCACTGCGTACGCTGGGCAGCAGTATGGGATGTGCCTCGGGTCACTAGCAACGTCCCCCAAGGAGTCTCTACGTGTGGATTTGACTCTCTAACAGTGGCTAGAATGACCAGCATGCCCCCTGCTAGTGGCAAGCCATAGTTTGAAAGTGAATCTGCTTGTTTAAACGGGGAAACAGTTATCATTGTTACGGATCAGGTTAGTCTTGGTTGAAATAATTGCTTAGTTCTAAGTGACCACGTGTAATAATCAGGCTGTACGTGACAGAACACAGCCTGCTCCACTGCAGCACTGCCACGCTTCTGCCATCTGCTGGGGTGGCACAAAGCCACGCTAAAGCCTGATCCTGCAAATGCACCCCAGTGAATGTTCCTTAGCTCAGGAACCCCTTGAATTCTCTGAGGCCCTGAGACCCCACTGTGACGTTGCACTCTATATGATTTTATGAAAATATGCTGATGAGTGTGAATATAATGTAATGTGACAAAGTTCCTCCTCTACCTTGGTGGGCCCTGCACTTATTGGCCGATTTGCTCGCTTCACAGATTCACCCTGTGGGTCAGGAAACAGTCCAGAGACCTTCCCCTCTGGTAGAAGCTATAGTCCAGGTCAATTCCTCCTGTGTTTGATCAGGAGTTAGGAGGTATGGGGGGAACCCGGGCCCGCCCTCTACTCCGAGTTCCAGCCCAGGGCCCTGTGGACTGCAGCTGTCTATAGTGCCTCCTGGTACAGTTGCACGACACCTACAACTCCCTGGGCTACTTCCCCATGGCCTCCTCCAAACACCTTCCTTATTCTCACCACAGGACCTTCCTCCTGGTGTCTGATAACACTTGTACTCCTCAGTCCTCCAGCAGTACGCCTACTCACTCTCAGCTTCTTGCACATCTCTTGCTCCCAGTTCCTCACACACACTTCCTCTCCTCTGGCTCCCCCTGGCTCGACTGGAGTGAGCCCTTTTATAGCATCAGAGGCTCACTTAACTGCCTCACCTGACTCTTAGCAGGTTAATTGGAGTCAGGTGGTCTATTAGCCTGGAGCAGCCCCTGCTCTGGTCACTCAGGGAACAGAAAACTACTTATCCAGTGGCCAGAATATCTCCCTTCTGCTACTCTGCTGTTCCCAACTGGCCTGGGTCTATCACAGTAACTAAAATATGCTTCATGCGAAAGGTCTCTTGTAAGGTATCATTACAAAGCTTAGAATCTACTGAGTGTGGTCATCCTATTTGTATGAATGTATCATTCTTGTATCTGAAAATAGAAATATAAATCTGAGGCCTATTGTAATTATGCAAAGTGTCGGCCATTAATGTTGATTTGGGTTCTTGATGGCTCCCATTAACCAGGACAATTGACTGTAGATGGCTCTGTTTACTTGTAAGTCTTCCTGTATACCTGTGTGCTGGCAAGTGGGTAATGAAGTCTTACACTGACATGTGATCATGTCACCTGAACTAGAATCCATCTTTAACCTGGTGCTTTTCCATTGAGAAGGAGGGGGTGGGAACCCAGAGAGGGACAAAGGATTCCCGCCTTGTGCAAAATATATATAAATGGGTGGAACAGAACAAAAGGAACAGCCATCAAGAGGAATCCCCTAACTACCACCTGAGCTGGAACAAGGGCTGTACCAGGGGGAAAGGATTGTGCCCAGACTAGGAAGGTGTCCAGTCTGTGACAGAAGCTTATTGAAACATCTCTGAGGGTGAGACTTTATCTGTATTCGGTTTTCTTACTGTATTAGGCTTAGACTTGCATGTTTTATTTTATTTTGCTTGGTAATTCACTTTGTTCTGTCTGTTATTAATTGGAACCACTTAAATCCTACTTTCTGTATTTAATAAAATCACTTTTTACTTATTAATTAACCCAGCATATGTATTAATACTTGGGGGAGCAAACAGCTGTGCATATCTCTCTATCAGTGTTATAGAGGGTGAACAATTTATGAGTTTACCCTGTATAAGCTTTATACAGGGTAAAATGGATTTATTTGGGGGTTAGACCCCATTGGGAGTTGGGCATCTGAGTGTTAAAGACAGGAACACTTCTTAAGTTGCTTTCAGTTAAGTCTGCAGCTTTGGGGCAAGTAATTCAGACCCTGGGTCTGTGTTGGAGTAGACTGGCGTGTCTGGCTCTACAAAACAGGGTGCTGGGATCCCAAGCTGGCAGGGAAAGCAGGGGCAGAAGTAGGCTTAGCACACCAGTTGGTAGCCCTAAGGGGGTTTCTGTGATCCAACCCGTCACACCCGCCCTTTGGTGGTGGACTCCGGTACCACCACTGCTGCCATTTGGGACAGGAGCCTGGCCCATATGTCTCTCAGCTGACAGCAGCAAACTTGGGCCTGTTAATGCACCCAGGTGTTCCCGCCACAGACTGGCACTGCAGGGTTGTTGCAGTGAACACCCTTCTCCAGTGCCCTGTGCCCCATCAGCCTGCTGCTGTTCTTCTGGGGCACAAGAAAAAATGGAACCATGTGGGGAGTTATTTTTATTACTAGGGGAAATCTGGCAATTACAGTGCAAAGCCTCCAGGCCCAGAGTGCTCCGATGGGCAGGGCACAGCTGGCTCGTTAGCAAGACCAGCAGTTTGCTTTTTCCTGGAGCACCACAGGCAGCAAGCCACAAATTCCATTTACATAGTCACACCTGCAACGCTGCAAGTCAGGAGTGCTGCGGGGGGATGGGATGGGTAACAATGTGGGGAAGGGGTTGGAGTGGGGGGCTGTAGTTGGGCATTGGAGGGGTGGGCGGGTAGGATTGGGTTTGAGAAGTGGGGGATTGGAGTGTGGGATTAGGGATGGTGGCAGTGGAGGGTGGGAATGGAGGCTGGGGGAAAGGACTGGGGCAGTGGGGGTTGGAAGTTGGAAGTACGAGTAGGGTTTGGGGTGGAGAAGCTAAATGGTGGGATTAGGGGATGGGGAGGGTGATGAGGGTGCTGGAGAGAGTGTTTACGGTCCAGGGAGGTGAACTGGGGTGGGCGGGTTGGAAATTTGGATTAGGGATGGGGTAAAGGAGGGTGGGGTTAGGGTTGGGAATGGGGACTGTGGGCATTGGGCAGTCGGAAGGTGGGATGAGGGTTTTGGGAAGGGGATTAGAGCAGGGGGATGGAGGGGACGATTTAGGGGCTCAGGAAGGGGATGTGGGACAGTGGGGTGGGAATAGGGTCTGGGGAGGGAGACTGGAGGGTGGCATTTGAGATTGAGGATTGGAGATGTGGGGAGTTTGAGGGGGATTAGGGTCTATAGAAGAAGTGCCGGCTCTAACTTTTTTGCTGCCCCAAGCAGCAAAAAAAAAGCGCCGCCCCTCAAGCCCCCCCACAGAGCGCCATGCCCCCCCACGCGCCGCGCCCGCCGCCGCCGGAGCCCCGCCGCCCCCCTGCCGAGTGCCGGGCCACCACGAGCCCACCCCCTGCCGACGCGCCGCTGGAACCCCCCCAGCGCCGCGCCCCCGCCGTCTCCCCCGCCGAGCACCACGTCGCTGGAGCCCGCCCCCCCCGCGGAATGCCACGCCGCGCTCCCCCCGCTGCCCCTTACCAGGTGCCGCCCTAAGCATGTGCTTGGGTGCCTGGAGCCGGCCCTGTATAGAAGGGAATAATGGGCGGTGGGGGTTTAGTAGGTGGGATATGGGGTCTGGATTGGATGGTGGGTGTTGGGGGATAGGAAGGCTGGATTAGGATGGATGAGGGGGATGGAGTAGTGCGATTAGGTTGGGGGAAGGAGATTAGAAGCAGTGGGGGTTTTAAGGGTGGGACGAAGGTTGGAAAGGGATTTGGGGTGGCAGGGGGCTGGAGAGTGGCATGAGGGGCTGGGGGATTTGGCATAGTATGGTTTCTGTGGTGTGGGATTATTGTCTGGGGTGGAGATTAGGGGCTGTGGGATGGGGCAGTGGGGTTGCGGGCGAGAGTAGGGTATGAAGAGGGGAACTGGGTAGTTGGGGGGTTGGAAGTTGGTATTCGGGTGAGGGGTAGTAGATGAGATTAGGGCCTGGGGAGGGGGACTACAGCCAGTGTGTGGGGGGGTTAGTGAGTGGGGAGGGGTTGGGGAGGGGGTGGAAGGTAGATTGGGGCGGATGGGGGGGATTAGGTCTCGGGTGGGAGTGGAAGGTAGATTGGGGCGGATGGGGGGGATTAGGGCTGGGGTGGAGGGGGAAGGGCGGCATTGGGGCTGGGGCGGTTTGGGGGCTTGTTCTCCCTACGCCCCCCGGGGTCCCTGTAACGCAGCCGTGGCCAGCGCCCGGCGCCCCCGCGTGGGTTCGCTGCGCTCCCGGAGCCCGGCCCCCCGCTTGAGTGGCAGCCGCGGGAGG